CTCTGAATGAGAAAGACAGTGGAGAGTTTTGTGCAGAGTGACATGATCTGACATATTTTTGAAGATCACACTGACTACTGCTTGGAAAATTGACTCTGGTAGGGTAAGCTTGGAATCAGGGTGACTAGGAGGCTACCGTAGAATTTCATGAATCAGAGTCAAGTTCATGTCAGTCAGGATTTGAATGCAGGTCAAAACTAAAGACCCCAACTTAAAAGCATTTATAACATTGGTCCCCTGATCAATCACTTCTTTATCTCTTCATCCAACAGCGTTTAAATAGGCACAGACCACATTTACAGCCCTCGTTTATGACTAAGAAAATTGAAACCTAAAGAGGTTAATTTTTTAGAGTGTCACAGATAGTAATTAGTGACAATAGTGGCACTTACATAAGATTTCATTTATTCAAAATTTACATAATTATTATACTTGCAACAGTCACCCTTTGACAGAAGAAAATGAGAAAGTTCAAATAATTAAAATTTTTCAAAATGCTAAATAGTCACTGTCGCTGCTCCCTTTAATAGCCTTGAGGCATTATAAAAGTACATAATATCTCTGTAATTATTAATGAAATAAAATTATATTTACCATGATTTCAATGCTAAATGTTCTCCTGTGTAGTTAAGGATTGGAAACAGTTACCCCATTAAGTAGTTCTTAACCTGTTTTGGTAGGAAATCATTTGACAAAATGATAAAAACTGTGAACCCACTCCCTTAAACATTCACTTAAAAACATACATACAAAAATGTTCTTTTTCAGTGGAATTCATAGACCAATTGAGGTGTAGGTTACACATAAGAGATGTAAGGCAACCCATTTATGAACCTGAATATTTTAATAACTCAATACATCTTTACCATGCAGAATAAGCAGGTTTGTACTATTAATATTTCAAATACATTACTATGATTACACGATGCCTGAATGAAGTGAGAATCAAGATGATGTGATCCCTTTTTGCTAGGTAGCTCTTTTCTGAAGGGCGCATGGAGCAGAGGACCTGTCACATACAGGATGGCTTCAGTTGGGGTGTGGAGCCAGGGGCATCAGCTCTTCAACCCAACTGCCATCACAACCTTATAAACCAAGGAAAGGGTGGAATTAGAAGTAATTTGGAAACAGATTAATACATTGTAGAAAAAAAACAGAGTATCATCTGGATCAGTGATTCAAAAAGCCTGTGTATCATTGTCCATTCTCTAGAATCAGCCTCGTAATTGATCTACTGAACAATTAGTGGCCGTAAGTTGTTAAATTATTGCTTTCTCTCTGACTCAGAGACGACCATGATTTTATCAGGTGTTGGATACTTTTTCACCAAGGAGTAAGTGATATATAGTCATTATTTTATATTAAAATGAGCCTCTGTGATTAATTCTTTTATTTTCTTTCTCTGTACTGGGTAATTGGCCCG